GCATTGCTGTGGCTAAAGCTGTGACTCCTAGGTGATTGATGCCATTCTGGGGCATGTGCACTTCCTCCAGACTGCCAATCAACTGAGAAGATAAAGCAACACCAATAGATCACTGGAGAAGATAAAGCAGTGGACCAATGGACCAACACCAGTGCACCAATGGAGAAGATACAACAATGGACCAATGGAGAAAACAAAGCAATAGATCACTGGAGAAGATAAAGCAGTGGACCAATGGACCAACACCAGTGCACCATGGGTGATGGTCGATTGGCCCATTGCTTTATTTTCTCCATTGGTGCACTGGTGTTGGTCCATTGCTTTATCTCCTCCATTAGAGAAAAAGCAATGGGCCAATGGACCCCTGGAGGAGATAAAGCAATTAGCCACTGAACCAATACCTGTGGACCAATGGAGAAAATAAAGCAATGGACCAATGGAGAAGATATCCAGCAAAGGACCAATAGGTCAACCACCAATGGACCAATGGAAAAAATAAAGCAATGGCTCAATGGAGTAGATAAAGCAATGGACCAACACCAGTGCACCATGGATGATGGTCCATTGGCCCATTGATTTATTTTCTCCAGTGGTGCACTGGTGTTGGTCCATTGTTTTTATCTACTCCATTGATCCATTGCTTTATTTTTTCCATTGGTCCACTGGTGTTGGTCCATTGGTTTATCTCCTACATTGGAGAAAATAAAGCAATGAGCCAATGGAGAAAATAAAGCAATGGACCAATGGACCCCTGGAGGAGATAAAGCAATGAGCCATTGGACCAATACCTGTGGACCAATGGAGAAAATAAAGCAATGGACCAATGGATTTTAAAGTAATGAGTAATGGAAAAGACAACATAATGGACCAACACCAGTGGACCACTGGAGAAGATAAATCAACACCATTGAACAAATGGAGAAGATAAGGCAATGAACCAACACCAAAGGATTAATCAGCTGAGAAAAACCGAACAACATCTACAATGGACCTAATGACAAAGGTCAGCAATCGGGTATATTTTAAAGCACCAAAGGAATGTAAATCAAGAAAATTATCATTATTATTCTGGAAGATTGTAGTTCAGGGTCATTTCTAGGCATGGGTACCGAAACCCAGTATTTAATCGGTCCCGGGGCTAAATTATGAAAGACCGGAGTATCGATAAGCTCTGACGTTAACGGTTCTGCTATCGGTACTGGAGAAATTAAGAAAACACACATACATTTATTATTGCTATATACATTATCTTGCAAATTCTATCTCACCAGAGTCGCCAGCTGTTTTTCAAACATTTGTCTATGATGCATTTTTGCTATTCACAATTCAGAAGCAAGATCGCGCCCACACGGAGGAGCTTCAGCACGCGCAACATGAAAGCCCTGTTTAATTATGATAGAAGAGAGAACTAAACATTCAAACATCTGCTTACACTTTAGGCCTGTGGCTGTTATATTAAGCTGATTTAATTTTTTTATTTCGATTTTGGCTTCTAAGGTAATACCGTTAAAACCTTAACGATACCCATCCCTAGTCATTTCTCGTATGGTTTAGCACCTGAAAGGCCTGCGCCAGCGCTGTGGCTCCATCGTTCTCCAGTCTGTTCCTGCCAGCGATGAACACCTTCAGCTGCAAGGGGGCGCCGAGCGCACTCGACTCCTTATGACACACCGTCAGAGCTGCCGCCAGGATCTAGAAAAGCAGGCAACACCAAATTTCCAGAGAAATAAACTGGCAATATAATAGAGCACAACAGTGACGCCCACTTGTTCAGGGCATGATGACACCAGTATCATAAACCCCGCCCACCTTTCCTCCTCCGATGCCCATTCCACAGTTGTTCAGACGCAGTTCCTGCAGCGTGTGGCAGGCGGTGCTCTTGAGCAGCTTCTCGATGCCTTTCACGCCATCGGGTCCGAAAGCGTTATCGCTCAGATCCAGAACCTTCAGCCGAGTTCCAGCCGTGATTAATGCGTCGCCCAGAGAAACCTGTAGAGGCGACGTTTACAAGCATTAAACAGACTGTTATAGTCACGACTACTAACTATGAGCACACTGGGTTTGATGAAGAGTTTGTAAAAGTCTTTGCTCTAAAAGATGTAGAATTAAATCATTAAGTGTCCATCTTACCAGTGCTGGAGGAATCTCAGCTCGCAGGCGGCCGGTAAACATGTCGCTCCAGTGGCAGCACTAACATGAGAGAAAAACAATAGCGGTAAAGAAGATAGTTTTAATTTGTTTCTAAATTTTACATCACTATATGACAATGTGTTTCATAAACATTATTATCAGCACAATATTATCATCTAAATGTGGTTTCTTGCTCTTGGCAGCCAATAATTCAATGTGCAAAACACACTATACTGATTTCCTAAGCAGATATGGTGATGGAAAATATATAAACTATATAATGTGAGGAAATATTATATGGTAAGACTGTACAATAAGGTTTCATCTGCTAACATTAGTTAACATGAACTAACAATGTTAATGTTAATCTCAACATTTACTACATAGATTTCGAAGATCAAAAGTTGTATCTTTTAACATTAGTTAATGCACTGTGAACCCACATGAACATTTTTATTAACTAACACTAACAAAGTTAGTTACTAACATACTCAAATACTAATTATTAGTTATATACCGTTATATATAATATACTGCTACATTAAATAAATGTATTGCTCACTATTAATCCATGTTAACAAATAAGACCTTATTGTTAAAGCGTTACCAATATATTTAAACTTTAAATTATTATTATTATTATTATTTAAATCTATATTCAAATTACTTTGCAAATCCAAAGATTCTTGGGCAAACGTAAAAGTTTTGCAGGATAATGCACTGAAATATAATTTCTCATTTTATTTCCCATCTCATCATTTTTATCCATCATAATGTCGAATTTGTGTTCAACATAAATTTAGTTTTATCCCGCTGCAAGTCTTGGTCATATTTGTTCATGTGATGATGTTGCACAACCTGTCCATGCTGACATCAGTCTTAACTACATCAAATGACAGATAAACTTGTGGAAAAATACTGTAGCGTTTGTGTTGACACAATGTCTTTGACATGTAATTTGTCTTCTCGTGCCTTTTAAAAGTTGATAAGCTGGTTTATATTTCTGTCATTACGATGCATGGCTGGGTGCATTAAATTACTTGATTTAGCATAGTTTCTTTTCTGCTGCCTTTAAGCTTTTCAGGTCATGATCCCTCAGTTGAGAACTCCTGTTTTAGGCTGTGTTTAGGGTTTGGGAATAAGTCCAGATGATCTGGCACATGCACCTGCAGGTTGCTCTTCTTCTCCAGGGCTTTAGCGATGGTCTGCGCTGCCTCCACGCCGATGGTGTTTCCCTCCAGTCTGAGCGCTCGCAGACCGTCAAACTCCTCGATCGCCTTCACCATCTTCTCCACTGCACACAACACAACAGCATTACCTCTGGTACTCTTTCATGAAGATAGAGAAACATGCAAAATTAGGAGATCATCATCAGCTCACCAGACTGAGCGTTGTCCAGTTTAAGGCCTTGTCCTTTATAACTGAGCTCGCCCTCATCGACTTGAGTTTTGGCCAACGAGTCGGCGAGATTTGCCACATCATCTGATGCCATCTTGACACCAACTGAAGAAAATACATGAACACAAGAGTTTAACTTGATTGCATCTCTTTTGCTATAGAGACAAAGAAAGTTCTTGTGATTCATAAAGATAACATTTGACACACTAGAATCAAACCCACTTCATTATTACAATGAATTAATATATTTTTACTAATATCATTAATTTCCATGTTACATTTACTATTATTAACTATGTAAATTAGCAATTAAATATATAATTTATTAATATTAATTAAACTGCACTGATCAATTCATCCCACGTAAACCTACTTTGCATGTCAAAACGTTAAATATTCTTAATAGTGTTTAAACTGCTGTTGCTCACCCCTAAAGTGATGTGTGTATGTTTACATGAATGTATGTGTCTATCTAACGTTATATGAATTATGAACATGTGTTTTCAGATTCACACTGACGCAAGATCAGCACGCAAAACACGATTCAAGTGACGCAGCCTATTTACAGCCACTATATCGACACTCATTTCCGGAGCAAACTTAGCATATAAATATTCAGTTTGTACTTACAGGTGTTGTTTAATATGATTTTGTGGGTGCAGTACTACCTCCCGCTCGTTCTGATGACGTAGTGGTATAGACGCGCAAGGGTTCATGGGATTTGTAGTTCGTATATTATTTTATTTAGCATGGACTTTTTTTTTGCCTTTTACTGTTAGTGTTAATAAAAATTACCATATAAAAATCATAAAGACACTATTTATGGATTTTTTTTATTGTTTAGGATCATACATTGAACTAATTCATTGTATAGATTGATTTTGTTGGCAAATTTAATTATTAGTAATTTGAAAGAGAGAGGCGGGAGTGTAACATCACGTATAAACATGTTTTTCACAGTGATTCTTGTAGAGATACTGAAATGCTTGGAGGGAATTCAAGGCCACTGTAATCTGACTCAAACTTTTCCCAAAACACAAGGACACATTTAATGCCAACAAACTAACCTAGGTTTAAGCATATTTACTTACGAACAGGTCAATGCATGTTTTTGATAGAGCATGTTCAGTGTTCTTTTTTCTTTAAAACTTTTGTTAAAGTTTAATAGTTATTTAACGGACGTTTTTGCGGAGCGTCACTGTCACGTGATACGTGTTACATTACTCATCGCTGGTCAGGATGGACCAATCACAGTGGTTCGTTGATTACTGGGCATAGATTACTTGACATCATTTTATAGTGTTTAAAATATGGTGTGTTTTACTTTGTATCCCAGTTATCAATTCTATAAAGGAACATGCTCAAAATAATATGCCTTTTACACTATACACGTTCCCAATAATGCGAAAAAACGTCGAGAGATTTATTTAAACGCATTTGAATGAAGGTCGAGCGCCTCCTGTTGGTGCAGCCGCGCTCGTCTCGTGGAAAAACGGTTATTAACTGGAAACATTAGTCGGGTTCACAGCGAGGGAGCGGTGCATGTTCACACACATTTGGCAAATGTCTTGAGATTGACCAGCTAATGATCTGGCAGTCATTCCTCTAATGTTTTACACACAGACCGCCAAGGAAACACGCGCGGAACTCAGAAGAAAGCGCCCTTTGTCGCGATTTTCTCCAGACACAGGTGAGTCTGACTGGAGTCATCTGGAAAGTTTGTGAGTTCACACTCTGTGATTCTAGTGTGACCTTATTCTGAGGGTATATGTGCTCTTTTGTGGCTGACTTTATTGATTATTAGACTGTCGTCCTGAATGTCCAGCTGCTTTAGTTTCGTTTTTGCAGAAACGGTTTGTTTATGGTAGGAAGTGAAGTCGAGTTTGGGCGTGTTTCAAATCTCCAGTTATCTCCCTTCTACTACAAGTTAACGGTTTTGAGTGTCGTCCCAGCCAAGGGAACGTTCTCAGATCTCTGACTAAGATTCTCTCAAAGTTACAAACATTCTTCCAGTAACGTTAACGTTCAAAGTTATCTGGTCTTTAATAACGTTCTCATAACACAAAAAAACATTAGTTATACATTGTTAAACGCTTTTCTGAATTCTTTTAGTTGCCCTTACGAAAATTAACGTTAATCGTTGTTTTACCAAAAAAAAACATGGTAACCACAAATTAACCTTGGTTTACTAACCGTAGTTTAACCATGGTATTAGTAGTACAACTGTGGTTATACAAATGGTAATCAATACAACAAAATCAATAAAATCTCCATAATGTTTGTAAAATGATAAAAATGTAACGTTTCTGTAATGTTTTCTTTACATAACCATATTCAAAACATTTTTTTCAAACGTTTTGAAAATTTAAGTTAATAATCAAAGATTTGATCGTTTAGAAAACGTTCAGAAATAACTTTCTCATAATTTTACAATGATTTTAAAAGTATTTTCAGAACATTCTTGTGATAGCTGGGATAGCGGCATGCTATAGCCTGATAATAATGCTCTCTAGGTAGTCAACTAGTTTTTGACTCATCCGACACAAATGAAAATGTACAAATACACTGCTGAAAATGCATAAATATACTGTACACTGTGATATAATAATTTAAAACGTTGACGCTTCAATGTTTAATACAGCAGTCTATACACCAAATATTCGGTTAATAATACACACTTTTAAGAGAGCATTGGTGTCTTTTGAGACAAACGGTGAACAGCTGGTAAACGTGAACTTTTGCACACGTGTCTGTTTGTTTTTCAGGGTTGTGATGGTCAAACATGAGCGGTGAGCGTCAGAAGCGCCGGGAGGAGATTCAGAGAGCGCTGAGCTTCATCAAGTACTACAAAAATGGATTATTCGTTTACTTTAAGTATCATTCAGTCCTGCTGACTGTCGTATCTCAAACACCGTGTTGATTTGTGCTTTGTTTTTCGTGTCTACAGAAGTTCTCTGCCTTATCCGGACCCTGAAGGCTATGAGGTTGGGCTTGAGGAAATATTTTGCACACAAACGCTTATCTAAATTAAGACAAATTCACATTTTCTCTCTAAAGTAGAGCTAAGTAAAGTCATTTAGCATGATTGGACCAGTTTAAAAAGTTATTCTATAATAAGCTGTCTGTTTGTTTCTTCTTTGCTGTTGTTGTTCATCAGGGCTTTGTGCTTCAGCTGGTGTGTGATCTCTTAGATGAGGGCAATGCCGTGTTTCGAGAGGGCGACTGGACGCAGGCGCGTGATCATTTCAGCGAGGGCGTCAACGTGGCGTTTTACGCTCAAGCTGAGGGGCTGAACGTTCCCGCCGCCCTGCTGGAGAGTCTGTACATCAACCGCGCAGCCGTCCATCAGAACATGGTGAATTTGACACCAAGATCTACATATTTTTGTAGGCCAAACTGGAAGTTAGCATCACTCAGATTCTTTTGACAAAAACCCAATGGGATTTTTCTATTGGCCTTTGGATTATTGTCAAAAATAAGCTCTGAGAACAACAAAATGATTCTTAAACGTTTTGCTCTTTACAATAATCAGAACACATCTTTTATTATTTCGAAACCTAAATAAAATGGAAGAAGATAAAAGCCAAACATAGGCTATAAACAAATTACACCATGGTAGCATAAAAAAAAAAGGGGGGTTTTATTGATGTATTTTATGTCATAGAATAAAATGTGAGAATCTCTTGAGCTTAACCAAAAACCAATCCAAAAAAACCCATTGACTTAAGGATGAAAGTGCTAAAATTCACTTCGTTTCTGGATTTTGGCCTTTAAGGTTCTTGTTGGATGCTTTATATGTGACCCTGGAGCACAAAAGCAGTCATAAGTAGCACGGGTATATTTGTAGCAATAGCCAACAATACATTGTATGGGTCAAAATGACCAATTTTTCTTTTATGCCAAAAATCATTAGGATATTAAGTAAAGATCATGTTCCATGAAGATATTTTGTAAATTTCCTACCTTAAATATATAAAAACTTAATCTTTGATTAGTAATATGCATTGCTAAGAACTTAATTTGGACAACTTTAAAGGCAATTTTCTCAATATTTAGATTTTTTTTGCACCCTCAGATTTTCAAATAGTTGTATTTCGGCCAAATATTGTCCCATCCTAACAAACCATACATCAATGGAAAGCTTATTTATTCAGATTATAAAAAAATGACCCTTATGACTGGTTTTGTGGTCCAGGGTCACATATTTTATGTTGCAGATGAAGTCATGTGTGTTTTCTCTCTGTCTGTGTCAGGGTGAGTTTGACAGCAGTGTGAAGGACTGCGATCGCGCTCTGGAGGTGTGTAAGGACAGCGCTAAGGCGTTGTATCGTAAGGCCGTGTGTCTGAAGGAGTCTGGAAAACTGAGAGAGGCATACGACTGCAGCACTGCATGTCTGCTGGCCTCACCGCAGGTAAACAACAAACATCTGTTATTATCCTTGTGGAAGTAAATGTTGCTGCTCAATTAACATGTGCTGATATATTAATGCTAAATAAATGGGATTAATTGTAATTCTTCTGTAATCTAATGGACCCTTTTCACGGGTTCTCAGAAGTCGTCAGGGTTGGCAAACCTCAAGGGTGAATGGAAACTATAAAAATGTTTTTTTTTTTTTGTGTGTTACCATTTTCCCTAATAGTGTTTCTATGACTTTGCAAGAGGAAAAAAACATTGTAAGATTGATTATGCTGGTCAGATGTATGTGAAATACAGAAAGAAAGAAAGAGAAAAAAAAAAAAAGAAAGAAAAAAAAATATATATATACACACACACAAAAACAATTGTGAAAAACTGTAATACTGTGATTATTTTGACTAGATATTTACTGTATTTTAGATCAGAATATTTCAAATGTACTTTGTTTCCTGTGAAAAAAAAAATCTTTCCATTCCATTATTACATTTTTTTTTCAATATTTTCCATTTCATACTGTTTAATGTCACTAAAAGGCCAAAAATGATTATATTTATTTGTTTGTGCTTTAATCTGTATCACTGAAACCCCTATGAAACTAAATATGTAGATTATTAATTTAAAGCAGTGTGTCAATTTAAAAACCATTCTAAACATTTAAATTGGAGTAAACTAATGAGAAAAAAAAAAAAAGAAAGAAAAAAAATATATATATATACACACACACAAAAACAATTGTGAAAAACTGTAATACTGTGATTATTTTGACTAGATATTTACTGTATTTTAGATCAGAATATTTCAAATGTACTTTGTTTCCTGTGAAAAAAAAAATCTTTCCATTCCATTATTACATTTTTTTTTCAATATTTTCCATTTCATACTGTTTAATGTCACTAAAAGGCCAAAAATGATTATATTTATTTGTTTGTGCTTTAATCTGTATCACTGAAACCCCTATGAAACTAAATATGTAGATTATTAATTTAAAGCAGTGTGTCAATTTAAAAACCATTCTAAACATTTAAATTGGAGTAAACTAATTAATGCACAGTAAATAAATGAATACCCAGCATTCAAAAACATTTATAATGTCTGACAATCACAAATTCTTAAGAAATTAAACTGAAATAAATGGTTATTTAGCATAATTAGGAATAAAAATGCATTGATTTACTTAATTTCATTCTAAACTCTTTTTGTTTGGTAAAGTCAGGAAGGATAATTTACTCATTTGCTAGTTAACTGTAACTCTTTTTTTTTTGTTGCTATCTTAGATATGTTTCATTAAACATGTTCTTGATTAGTTGTATCAGGGTCATGTGACTGTCTGGGTCTTGTGATTTCTGTCTGTTGTGTCTGTCATATTTTCTATGTTTTTCAGGATCAGACGATCAGTAATTTGTCCAAGGAAATTGCAGCCAGTCTGGGCCTGAAAAACAGAAAAGCGTACATCAGTTCTCACGTGAGTACCCACAATCCTGTGCATGCTGTTGAAATATTTTTAACACTGTTTTGAGTGCAATAAGGAAATGTTTGAGAAAGATAATCATATTATGAAACAAATCTGTTCTTCTGTTTCAGAGGGGGAAAGCAGCAGGTTCTGAGGACGACTCTGTCGCGCCATCACCTTTAGATGAGGCAGGACTTCATTTAAAAAACCAAAACTACGGTTTTAAACTAATTTCTCATGAATTTCATCTTTGGATTTCGGCTCAGCTAGCTGATGATGAGTAGATTGAGACGTCTTTGGTGTTTGTTTGCAGATTTCTTCTGTTGGGCTGGAGGAAGTGACTGACTCCGCAGGTATTTCAAAGACACTGAATAGCATACTAATAGTAGGAATGCAGCATGTTTTCCTGCAGCTCAGACAGTAAAGTGTGACGTTAGCAACACCAAGGTCATGCGCTTGATTCCCAGAGAATGCATCAACTGATACAATTTTTTCATTGCATCATCCCTTTGGATAAATCTGCCTGCCAAATGCATTAATTAACATTAATGTACAAAAGTTTTGGGTGAGTATAATTTTTTGAAGGAAATGAGGATGCATTGATCAAAAGTGAGAGTAAAGACATTAATTATGTTACAAAAGATTTCTATCTCAAATAAATGCTGTTCTTTTGAACTTTCTCTTCATCAAAGAATCCTGATAAATAAAAATGTATCACAGTTTTCACAAAAATATGAAGCAGCACATCTGTTTTCAACACCGATAATAATCAGAAATGTGTCTTGAGCAGCAAATCAGCATATTAGAATCATTTCTGAAGGATCATGTGACATTAAAGACTGGAGCAATGATGCTGAAAAACCAGCTTTGATCACACAAATAAATTACATTTTAACATATTCACATAGAAAACAGCTATTTTAAATTATAATAATATTTCACTTTATCAAATATTTTTTGTTATCAAATAAATGCAGCCTTGGTGAGCAGAAGACACTTTATACCTATTTCCAGTATGAATTATATCTATATATCTTTAGACATCATTTTATCAAAGTACTAAAACTTAAGATGCTTTTAAACAAAATGTATTAAAACTCTATAGATATATATATATATATATATATATATATTTATATACTGTATATGTATACATGCCCTTTCACATGCTGTTTTTATCAAAAGAAGACAGTATAATGTGTACAGTATGCTGGTGTTTCATTACAAACGTGTCTGCAGTCTAGTCTTAACTCTGCAGCTGATTGTGTTCATGTTCAGTGTTTTCTCTGTCTGACAGCTGACTCTGATTGGCCGTCTCCTGTCTTACCCGCTCCGGTCCCCGTGAGCGACTCCCACGAGGCCCTGGGTCTGTCCGGAGCTGTGCCGCTCTCGGTGCCCGTGTCTCAGCTGCTGGAGGACAATGAGCTGATTGGAGACGAGCTGGACAGTCTGCTGGACTGCATGTCTAAAGAGGAAGACGCATCGCAGGTGAGCCACTAACTAACCAGACATAAATGCACTGTTTCCCACAGCCTTACACTCTATTTGTGGCGGCACTCCCCCGCCTCCATCTAAATTCATTATCTAGGGAAATAGATTTTCCCTGGTAACGGCTGTACACAAAGCAGCGCTTCACTCACAAACGCTGCTTTATCAGGCATTAAATGCAAGATGAAATGAAAATGACATCCAAAATTTTCTGAAGACAAGTCGGTTTCCTTCAGAAATACAGTGATGTAAAAACACCCGCACCAGGTTTCGACTTTGAAACGTGCAGTGCTCATTAGGGCTGTCAAAAAAAAAATCGAATTTCGAATATTCGTCGAATTCAAAAAAAAAAAATCACATTTGAATGCAAAAACATTGCATTCGAATTTTAGGTCTGCGTCAGCCGTCAGGCAACCTATCAGTGGCGCATGAAATGTGAAGACGATGTAGGCTAAGTGTCATTGCATTTTAATGCTTTTGTTAGCCTATCCAGTTGAACCCACTAGATGCGGTGCTGCTACGTTGTTCATTCAATATATTGCAGAAAACGAGAGCATCAGTGTGGAGAAGATGTTGTTTACGTCAAAACTGAAACCAAGCCGTTCACACAGAACGCATATTTATCACATTTTCTAGAGGGACATCTATCAGCGTTGCACGCGCGTCTCTCACAAGAGAGCAGCATGTTTAGAAAGCCATGTAAAATTAATGTAAGTTCAACTTTTAAAAAACATGTCTCAAGACTTTATGGCGGTTTTTCCCCATCCCACTGTATCTCATGTTTTTAAATGAAGAAAGTAGCCTACTCTTTGTGATTGGTTTTCGGCCCTTTGTATTAAACTATACATGCATGGTGCTGGGGGTTTTTTTCTAATTGTTTAAGCAACTTTATTAATTATATATGGTTTATAAACATTATTTTAAACATTATGCACTTTTTTTCAGATAGTCGTGTTATTTTATTACACTTTGAAGAAACATGCATAATATTTTGCTCGATGCGCCCTCTTGTGGCCTCAGGAGAGAAGCCAAAAGCTTTTTTCCCCCCTAACTGAAATTATGCCTTTTAAATCTGAATATAATTCGAATTTTGATAATATTTAAGTAGAAAATTCGAATTTAGTTTTTCAGTCATTTTGACAGCCCTAATACAGACCA